TTTAAATTAATTTATTTTTAAATTTTTTTTATTTTTTTATTATTATTATTATTTTTATTATTATAAGGAAATTAAGTTATAAACCAGTAAGGGTTGTAGAGCGCTGAAAATACGTCATGATAAGTATATCTCCAGGTGTTTAATACGCTGATAGTTTAGTTTACAAACACTAAGTGTCTCACTGTCTGTCAGCCACACATGTGCTGTTATGGTGTGGCTTGAGTTCTCATCAAGCCACAGTTGTGATAAGTTATACCTTTTTCCATTAACCTCCCTTTAGGAACACGTAAATATCATTTGTTTCTAGTCTAAACGTTTTTAATTTGATTAAACTTACGTAAAATTGCGTCTTTATTTTCAACTAAAATTTTATTTAAATTTTCGTTTTGATTTTGTTTTCGCATTTACTTGGCGTTATAATAACATATCCCTATTAGAGTAATTATAGGTCTTAAGAAAAGAAGTGGAGTCAGTTGATTTTGAAAGTTGCATTTTTCAGATGATATAAAAAACAATAGCCTTTGTAGAGCAATACATTTCTTGCTTTTAGTGTTATTTAATGAATCTTCTTTCTTTTTATTTGGAACTTTAACTGCAATGTTATCTTTTCTAACAAATTCAGAACAGCTGAATATATTTTTTTACAGATACTTGCAAAAGACAAATTATTAAAAATCTGAAACAATGTCTTTTTCACTAAAAAACAATAACAAAAGATTTGGCATACTAATAAGCATCAAAATAATAATCTATTCTTTGAAGCTGGTCATAACAGTGACCCCACCAAAAGACCTTCAGCAAAAAAGCACATTACCTCACATTAAAACAAAGACGTACCAGCTTGTGCGAGGTCCATGGCGTCGTCGATGATCTGAGCACGGTTTATCAAATGGATAACTTTGTGGTCGTTGTTCAGTTGCTGAATGAGCAAGTTCCAGTTGTCGTCGTCATAGTTCACTTTATAATAACCTGTCTCCTGTACGTTGAAGATGACCCACTGGTCCTTCCTTGGCAAAGAGACTGTGATCTTTGCCTCAGAATCCTTCATCCATACTTGTGTTTGAGTGTTGTTGAAATTAGTGTTATCTTGACTCGTGTATGTTAGTGGAACCCACCACTTGTAGTCATGGGTGTCTGACGAGTTCTCGTTCTTTACCAATAAAAATCGTTCCTGCAATAGTATGAAACTCATTTATGTGTCCCTCTCATTCTAAAATGTTATAAGAGTTTGTCTCTTGAACAACATAACATTAGTAAATTATTAAAACCTGAGTGAGGGTTGCCGAGGTGCCGTCTGAGCTCCTCACAACCTTGATGACAGGGTAACCCATCTGCAGCGTCCAGGTGTCCATGACCTTCTTGACTGTCATGCCTGACGGCAGTGCGGCATCTTCATGAGCAGCTTCTGTCAGGTAATGCCACAAGTCGTCTTGCTCAGCACTTTTATATTTCCTGAAACATTCAAGCTATATTTTTACAAAGCTGAATAAAAAATACATAAACTCTCTTAGGAAAATATTTTGGAACTAAAAAGTGCATTATGTGCACTGTACATGTGGAAAAAACTGTATATATTTTCCGAAAATACGGTAATTTATAGGTAAATGGATGCCCTATATTGCATTTTTAAAAGAAGTATGTTATCGAAAAAAAGAAGAGACAGTCGCCATTTTGTGGTTTTGAATTGGATACAACGTTAATGTAATGGGAAGCATTTTTCGTGCTCTAGAGGTTAAAATTGGATTGACACCTCTCAAATGGGGGCCCAAAAATTTTTTGGATGTGCATTCCTATAGTTTGAGATATCGGCGACGGGAAAAAGCGCTCCGGAACCTCAGATAAGCTCTCTAGATTGTGTATAATTCTGGCCCAGTGTTTTCTAAATTTAGTTAGTAAATTTTTTCTGAGTATGATACAACTTAATACCCAGTCAAATTGGGGGTTGTTTTAAAGATATATTTTTCCTTCTTTATGTATATGTGAATTATTATAAATCATTTTTTAATTTACACGGGTCCAAAAAATTTTATATTTCCCCAGAATTCCGGGTGATGTATAATTCATTTAATTAATGGGGTCCAGGCAATTGGGGATATGACAGTGTAGGTATCGAAGGGGGACTTTTTTTGGACCTAGGTCCCCCCAAATTTCCCCTATTGTCTACTGAAAATAATAATTATCTATTTTCATTTATTGTTTTTAAATAACTATAATCAGTAAATGCAATTTTCAACATTTAATTTGCCCGTTGGTCCTTTTTGAACCGGGGGTAATAGTGAAGTCATTAAAAGTTAATTACTTAAAATTATTAGTGAAAATGCAGAAGGAAAGGGGGATGTTAAGTTCACAAATTTCTTAAAATGAGGGATTATAATTTTACAATATTAATTTTGGGAAGTCTAGTGTAACAAATTTTTAATTAATGTGATAATATTATTTTGCAAAACCCAAAATGGCTAGGATTTATTTAAGTTTTTGTATAAATTAAATTTATAAAACAATTCTGGCCCGATTTTTTATCGTGAGTGTAATTGATAAAAAAAGTGTTTTTTAAATTTAATTGGTTTTAAAATTTTTTCTATGCCAAATTTGGCAAGGATTTATTAATTTTTATAAAATTTAATTTTTTTGAGCCAAATTTGTTTAAATTTCTTTAAATTTATATTACAATTTTTTTACAGTAAATTTCTGAGCTAAGCAGCGGGATTTTTCAAAGGTGGTTTTTGTCGTGTTATTGATTGGGTTTAATCTAATAATTTTTCCTCTTGAAAATGAAGGAAAAAAAATTTATTGTATAAGAAAGCATATGGATATAGAGTAAGAAAGCATCACTACAGGCTAGGAAAGTTCATGTAACCAGGCATAATAATAAGTGCTTGGAGTAATGCGAATCAGAAACACTGTGAATACTGATGATTTAAAATTGTATTAGATGCTTTAGGAAATAAGATATAGAATCATACAAATTATAAACATTACAACAAAATATGAAGGAGATTTGTTAGTGAACTGTGTAGATGAGATTGAAGTAGGGCTCATGATCAATCCTATTATGAATTAAGAAGAAAGATTCTTTCTTGTAAAAGTCGGGCCTGAATAAATTAAAATGTGTAAACCAGGCAGTTAATCAGTCTGGCTCCAACAAATAATATTGTCTTTGCCAAAACTTCCCAGAACTATGTTTACCTGTTTAATCTGGAGAAACTGGGAAGAATTTTGGTCAATTTTTAAAGCAGCTGTTGGGCATGACAGGAAGTGACCTACCTGTTGTAACTAAATATTTACCTCAAAGGACAGGTAAGAGGAGAGCACACATCACATACAAAGCCTTTCCCCAATGTAAATGACTCTTACCAAAAGCAGTTGACTTGTTGAAAAGTCCAACTTAACAGGTAATATGAACATAAGTAGGTGGATCTAGTGAATATCAACTAACTTAATTTAAATCCTCATAGTGGGGTGCAGTCGTACAAAGGTTTACAGCATTTTAGAGTTAAACTGACAGGCACCCTCAACAATTAAGTCTATATAAATATAATCTGAAGAATCAGACTGAGGTTATTGAGGTGCCATTGTACAGAATAAATAAACTATAAAACACTTGAAGGTTTCTCAAAACAAAATCTCAACAAGGGTTATTTGAGTCTGGAGAAAATAAGACTAAAAGGTCTACAAGAATTAATTGTGCAGTTTGGCAGACCAGCCAACCAACTCATTTTAAGATGCCAACACATAAAAACTCTGAGGTATCCGTCAAGTATTCACACAGGGAAAAATTAACTCCACAATGTAATAATCAAAATATCATTTCCAAAAAAGAAGTTATGCATAAGATTGCACAATCAATTAGCAGAATCAGAAATCAAGTGCTTCTCCACCAAGGTAATGAAGAATAATATCCTCCTAAAGTAGCCAGTTAATAAGAAACCAGTCAAAGAAAAAGAGATTGTCTCTTCTGCAAGTACTCACTTTTCTAAGAGAATTGCAATGCATACAAATTTCATGGAATGATAAATTTGCGAAAGATTGGAGGAACTAGACAGATGTATCAGGTGTTTAGATAATCCACACAATGCTAGAAGATTGTTATTCCAAATTAAACTTCTGTTATCAATGTCAACAAAGGAAGACACCAATATAGTCATGTTTAAAGTCTATATGATAATGTTTATAATAAGATAATTTTGAACAATCCTGACACAACATAAACTAATTATAAAATGCTGCTAATTGTTAATAATGATGGTTTTGCTGAAGTAGCCTTACCTGTGTTACAGGTAAAAATTGATGATAAAAGCACCTAAATCAAAAAATGTAACTGCATGTATTAATCTACGAAGCACACCACCGCATCCCAGTCGTACTTTCATTAAACGTAATTTCCCTTGATGGTATGAAAGTACAGAAGGGAGAGCCCATAAAACACACAACAACTTTAAAATTATCCTGGTTTTCTCTCGGATAAAAGGGCTCAATTGTATGACACTAAATAACAAAAAGGCACAATACCGTGACTGGAACGATACACAAATAACCCGCACATAAAAGACAGAATCTTACGACGACGTTTTCGGTCCGACTTGACCAGTGTGACTTTGTCAATGTCCATGTCGACCGAAACGTCGTCGTAAGCTTCTGTCTTTCATGTGCGGTTAATTTGTGTATGACACTTTATATGTAACTGTCAGGTTGGGGGGGGGCGGGACAATAAGAAAAAATGTTGTTTATGCATAAGTTGTAATAACTTCCAGAGAAAATATCTAAAATAGGAATTAGCTAAAGCTACAGAAAGACTTTCACATAATGTAAATTTAGCCCTTCTGGTTGTAAAGTATAATGAAATAATTGCTGATCAGTTAATGAATAAATTTTATAGAAGAGGTACCTCCTGAGCACACCAAAATTTATGGTCACTATTTGCCACATCACGGAGTGAGAAGCAAAGGATTCTAAGACACTCCCTTTGAGGATGTGGTTTAATTGTAGTGTCAGGAGTAACAAAAATGACCTAGTGTAAACGACTGTTTTGGGCTGACAGGTCGTCTTTGACAGAAAAATAGGAGATATCTTAATTAAAATTCACAGAGTAAAGATTCATGCCTTTACGGCTGAACATAAGTAAAGCTATCTAAGAGTGGTGTTTACACGAGGCTGAACTGGATTGTACGCACTTCTTATGGACTGAGAATCCTATTGAACCCACTAGCTCTCTGAAAAACCTTTCGCTTTAGAGCGTATTAATTTTTGGTCATACACAGTTCATTCCTAACTTCAAGCGACGAAAAATGGCACACCTTAAATGTAGCGAGGAACGTCCATTGAGTAAAGTAATGAGCAAATAATTTTATATGTGGACCTATTCCCTGGGTAGTGACGTCAACAGAAGAGGAACAGCTAACTGACTTTGGAGAGGCTAACTAAATAATGCAAGAGTGCAATATGCCTCGAGAGAATGGAAATATTAATTCGTCCAAACTGAAGGACAAATAAGTTCAAAAAAATATTACCTGGAGATGAAGTGCAAAAACGTAGTAAGTATTGGGTATAACTTGGGATAACTGAGAGAGATTTGTTAATGTTAAAACCTAATAATACTACACAGTATGCCCCAATAATTAACTAGAAGTTTGCGCTTGCTGAAGTTTCCAAATGTTTCGATCCACTAGGTTTAGTGTCACCCTTACTATAAGAGGGAACTTTTAATTAATACAGGAAGCATTGAACTACTTAAATGTCTTGGGATAAGATTCTAACCTGAGGAAATTCATTAACAGGTTTTATGAATTCAATTGGTGATTACGAGAAAATTCTAATGTTGGAGATTCCCACGCGGGTGCCATCTAAATAGGGAAAAATGTACTTCCACATTTTTTTGTGATGCTTCAAAATTGACATATGAGCATATGCTCTTACTTACAATGTAATATTTTAATTCTCTTGTTAGTCTGAAGGACTAAAGTGTCTCCAATTAAATCACATACCATACCTCAGTTGGAATCAACAGCCATTTATTAGAGTGTCAAATTAGCTAATTATATAAAGAAATAAGTTGACAGGCAATAAATATAGCGCCACTGTAATGGTACCTGATAATCAGGTATCCTTATCAATGGATCGTAATGAGAAACAGTAAAATTGTGTACATACAAAGCAGCGTCGCTGAAATTAAATCAGAATCTGCAAAGAAGTATAAATAGTTTTGGGTCATCATAATCACTTACCTGGTGAGAGAAAAACCAGCCGAATTCTTGTCGCAGAGTTTTTCCTTATGCTCAATTTGTAAATGCTGTATCATGGTTATAAAGGACCGAGTTCGTTCGTAAATAAAGCAAATTGGCCTGTACAAAATGCGTCATATTGCTCCTGTTGAAATCACTGTGGACACCGCTCCCAACTAGTATTTCCTCCCTTACGCCAATTGATAAAAATATGGTATTCTTCTTTACCCAAACTAATCAATGTAACTAAGTTGGTGTTTAAATTTCTAAACAAGATGAATATATCATATAAGTTTTCACATCCTCTTGAGTATTGGATAAAGAGGGTACAGGAGGAAATCTATGGAAATGAGATTAAATTGATGATGGAAAGAAAAATTGTGAAAGGTTCCATAACAGAGAAATTGGATCTGTATTTAGAGAACAATGCAATTAGGCGCAGAGGTAGGTTACAAAATGCTGAATTGGGTGATTATGCTAAACACCCTATCTTACTGCCCAAAACTAGGATACTTAATACAACAGTCAAAGCCAAAAAATGAATAGTATTTTTAGCCCCTTGCTAGAGAATGACTTCTAAAATAACTTATTACTAAACCTAATTTCTAAATCCCATGCCTAACGCGACGGTCTGGAGTTTTGAAACTCTCTGACCGCGGGTTCAAACCCCACCCGTGGTATGGTTTATTTACCGCACTTTAACCTTACTTATACAAGAGGAGAGATGCCAACTGCCATGCAGTATATCAGTTACCAATTTCTTACTATATCAGTCTAGAATATGCGATTGCTGATCTACGTTTGTAACTGACAGTACATGTAATTATTAAAAAGATCAAACATCTGAAACTCTCTCCTGCAAAATTAACTGAGGATATACACGGATTTACCGAGTAAATTTAGAAATAACTTTAATTAATAATTTACCAGTGGTAAAAAAAACAGACATATAGGCACCGAGAGTTGCATGTCTCATTGCACATACAATGAAAGTTTACCTTAATAGCTGTTTTAAATAGTAAAGCATTCTTGACAGGTGTAGAAAAGGTAATTTTCATACTTCATGATTCTCTTATATTCGCAAATCTTTAAACCTTATTAACAAATCCAACCAAGGAAAATTTAATGACCCTCGCCAGTGCCTATAGATGACTATGGTTTAGCAAAATACGTTATGCACAAGAATATTTATGTACTTACAGACCGTTGAGATAGTTAGAGAGGCCCTTCCTTAACGTTTTCTCTGTCAGGAAGAAGTTCATCATGCGAATAAGAGATGATCCTGTGAGAAGGACATTGATATTTTTATATATATATATATATATAAAATATATATATATATATATATTTTATATATATATAAAATATATATATTATATATATATTTATATATATTATATATATATATATATATATATATATATAACATACATATTATTAAGGTTAAGGTAAAAGATTTTAATTTTGCACCAAAAGAATCTTAGAAAACTTACCTAATCTTATTATAACAAGAGCAATTTATTTTAGCCTAACCCAACTAAATATATTTTAGATTTGTTTACAATAATTTAATACTATACAAACACAGTGAAATATATTTTTTTCGGTATGGTTCAGAATGATTTTGGTAACATTATTGCATACACAAATTTTCACTTGTCCTATATGGCAAGATGAGCGTTGCTATTTAAGCCAAGATAGCAAGTTCTGCCTATTCGGCACGACATATATTTATATATATATTTATATATTTTTTTTATTTTTATTATCACACTGGCCGATTCCCACCAAGGCAGGGTGACCCGAAAAAGAAAAACTTTCACCATCATTCACTCCATCACTGTCTTGCCAGAAGGGTGCTTTACACTACAGTTTTTAAACTGCAACATTAACACCCCTCTTTCAGAGGGCAGGCACTGTACTTCCCATCTCCAGGACTCAAGTCCGGCCTGCCGGTTTCCCTGAACCCCTTCATAAATGTTACTTTGCTCACACTCCAACAGCACGTCAAGTTTTTAAAACCATTTGTCTCCATTCACTCCTATCAAACATGCTCACGCATGCCTGCTGGAAGTCCAAGCCCCTCGCACACAAAACCTCCTTTACCCCGTCCCTCCAACCTTTTCTAGGCCGACCCCTACCTCGGGCCCTTTCCCTTCCACTACAGACTGATACACTCTTGAAGTCCTCTGTTTGCTCCATTCTCTCTACATGTCCGAACCACCTCAACAACCCCTTTCCCCAGCCCCTGGACAACAGTTTTGGTAATTTCCCACACCTCCTCCTAACTTCCAAACTACGAATTCTCCCGCATTATATTCACACCACACATTGCCCCCAGACATGACATCTCCCTGCCTCCAGCCTTCTCCTCGCTGCAACATTCTCACCATGCTTCACATCCATATTAGAGCGTTGGTAAAACTATACTCTCATACATTCCCCTCTTTGCCTCCAAGGACAAAGTTCTTTGTCTCCACAGACTCCTAAGTGCACCACTCACCCTTTTCCCCTCATCAATTCTATGATTCACCTCATCTTTCATAGATCCATCCGCTGACATGTCCACTCCCAAATATTGAATACATTCACCCCCTCCATATCTCTCCCTCCAATCTGATATCCAATCTTTCATCACCTAATCTTTTTGTTATCCTCATAACCTAACTCTTTCCTGTATTCACTTTTAAATTTCTTCTTTTGCACTACCTACCAAATTCATCCACCAATCTCTGCAACTTCTCTTCAGAATTTCCCAAGAGCACAGCGTCATCAGCAAAGAGCAACTGGGACAGCTCCCCCTTTATGTGTGATTCTTTATCTTTTAACTCCACACCTCTTGCCAAGACCCTCGCATTTACTTCTCTTACAACCCCATGTATAAATATATTAAACATCCACGGCGACGTCACACATCCTTGTCTAAGGCCTACTTTTTCTGGGAAATAATTTCCCTCTTTCCTACATACTCTAACTTGAGCCTCACTATCATCTTAAAAACTCTTCACTGCTTTCAGTAACCTACCTCCTACACCATACACCTGCAACATCTGCCACATTGCCCCCCTATCCACCCTGTCATACGCCTTTTCTAAATCCATAAATGCCACAAAAACCACTTTAGCCTTATCTAAATACTGTTCACTTATATGTTTCACTGTAAACACCTGGTCCACACACCCCCTACCTTTCCTAAAACCTCCTTGTTCATCTGCTATCCTATTCTCCGTCTTACTCTTAATTCTTTCAATAATAACTCTACCATACACTTTACCAGGTATACTCAACAGACTTATCCCCCAATAATTTTTGCACTCTCTTTTGTCCCCTTTGTCTTTATACAAAGGAACTATGCATGCTCTCTGCCAATCCCTAGATACCTTACCCTCTTCCATTCATTTATTAAATAATTGCACCAACCACTCCAAAACTATATCCCCACCTGCTTTTAACATTTCTATCTTTATCCCATCAATCCCGGCTGCCTTACCCCCTTTCATTTTACCTACTGCCTCACGAACATCCCCCACACTCACAACTGGCTCTTCCTCACCCCTACAAGATGTTATTCCTCCTTGCCCTATACACGAAATCACAGCTTCCCTATCTTCATCAACATTTAACAATTCCTCAAAATATTCCCTCCATCTTCCCAATACCTCTAACTCTCCATTTAATAACTCTCCTCTCCTATTTTCAACTGACAAATCCATTTGTTCTCTAGGCTTCCTTAACTTGTTAATCTCACTCCAAAACTTTTTCTTATTTTCAAACAAAATTTGTTGATAACATCTCACCCACTCTCTCATTTGCTCTCTTTTTACATTGCTTCACCACTCTCTTAACCTCTCTCTTTTTCTCCATATACTCTTCCCTCCTTGCATCACTTCTACTTTGTAAAAACTTCTCATATGCTAACTTTTTCTCCCTTACTATTCTCTTTACATCATGATTCCACCAATCGCTCGTCTTCCCTCCCGCACCCACTTTCCTGTAACCACAATCTTCTGCTGAACACTCTAACACTACATTTTTAAACCTACCCCATACCTCTTCGACCCCATTTCCTATGCTCTCATTAGCCCATCTATTCTCCAATAGCTGTTTATATCTTACCCTAACTGCCTCCTCTTTTAGTTTATAAACCTTCACCTCTCTCTTCCCTGATGCTTCTATTCTCCTTGTATCCCATCTACCTTTTACTCTCAGTGTAGCTACAACTAGAAAGTGATCTGATATGTCTGTGGCCCCTCTATAAACATGTACACCCTGAAGTCTACTCAACAGTCTTTTATCTACCAATACATAATCCAACAAACCACTGTCATTTCGCCCTACATCATATCTTGTATACTTATTTATTCTCTTTTTCTTAAAATATGTATTACCTATAACTAAACCCCTTTCTATACAAAGTTCAATCAAAGGGCTCCCATTATCATTTACACCTGGCACCCCAAACTTACCTACCACACCCTCTCTAAAAGTTTCTCCTACTTTAGTATTCAGATTCCCTACCACAAGGACTCTCTCACTTGGTTCAAAGGCTCCTATATATTCACTTAACATCTCCCAAAATCCAACTTCTTTTCATTCATAACATCAGCAATCATCTGTTTTTTGTCATCCGCACTACATCCACGCACATTCAAGCATCCCAGTTTTATAAAGTTTTTCTTCTTCTCTTTTTCAGTAAATGTCTACAGGAGAAGGGGTTACTAGCCCATTGCTCCCGGCATTTTAGTCGCCTCATACGACACGCATGGCTTAGGAGGAAAGATTCTTTTCCAGTTTCCCATGGACAATAGAAGAAATAAGGAAGAACAAGAGCTATTTAGAAAAAGGAGAAAAACCTAGATGTATGCATAATATATGCATGTGCGTGTCTGTGAAGTGTGACCCAAGTGTAAGTAGGAGTAGCAAGATATCCCTGTTATCTAGCGTGTTTATGAAGACAGAATATATATATATATATAAAATTTTTAAAATATATATATATATATATATATATTTTATTTATATATTTTACATATACATATATATATATATATATATATATATATATATATAATAATTATATATATATAAATATATATTATATATATATACATATGTATATATATATATATAATATATATATTTATATATTATATATATAAAATATAAAATTTTATACATAGTCGTGCCGAATAGGCAGAACTTCCCGATCTTGCTTAAATAGCAACGTTCATCTTGCCATATAGGACAAGTGAAAATTTGTGTATGCAATAATTTCGCCAAAATCATTCTGAACCTAACGAAAAATTATATTTGATTGTGTTTTTTTTAGTACTAAATTATTGAAAACGTATTTAAAATATATTTAGTTGGATTAGGCTAAAATAAATTGCTCTTTTGATAATAAGGTTAGGTAAGTTTTCTAAGATTCTTTTGGTACAAAAATTTAAATTTTTTTTATATTAACATTAAAGAAAAAAATATATCTTTAAACGTATAAAGAGAAAATTTCAGAAAGGACTTAAATTTTAAATGAGTTCTTGCTAATTGACCAGTTTTACATATTCGGCACAACATATTTATATATATATATATATAATATATTTTATATATATATATATATAAATATATATATATATATATAATATATTATATATATTTTATATATAAAATATATATATATATATATAAATAATTTTTATATAAAATATATATATATATTTTATAATATATATATATTATATATATAATAATATATATATAATATATATATATATATATATATAATATATATATATATATATTTTTATATATATATATATATATATATATATATATATATATATATATACATATATATATATATATGTATATAAATATATAAAATATATATATATATATATATATAAATATATAATTTTATATATTATATATAATGTATATTATATACATATATATATATATATATATATTATATATAATTTTATATAATATTTATATATATATATATATATATATATGAAATGAAAAAGCTAAGTATTAATGTAAATACTAAAAGCGAATACTGAAAGTTACTGAAAGTTATTTTTTAAATTCAACAAAGAGATTAAGATAGTCTTGATGTGTGAATAAGTTATAAACAGTCTTAATACCCTCTTAGACGTTACTCATAAATCCCTTTAACCAACTACCAATTTCAATAACAAAATATACTTATTTTTTGGGTGGGAAATTTAAATCAAATATCTCATTGATTCACCCGGGTTTCCCCACTTGGATGCT